GGCAGCCATGTCCTCACGGGCCTCAGGAAACTCTCCTTCCTCCATCCCCTCACCCACGTACCAGTGAACAAAGGCACGCTTGGCATACATCAGATCAAACTTGTGGTCCAGGCGAGCCCAGGCCTCAGCAATGGCTGTGGTGTTGCTCAGCATGCACACAGCTCGCTGCACCTTGGCCAGGTCTCCACCAGGCACCATAGTGGGAGGCCGGTAATTAATACCAACCTTGGAGCCAGTGGGGCACCAATCCACAAACTGGATGCTGCGTTTGGTCTTGATGGTGGCAATGGCAGCATTGACATCTTTGGGAACCACATCACCACGGTACAACAGGCAGCAAGCCATGTATTTACCACGGCGAGGGTCATGGTGTGCTTTTTTAACAGGCAAATAATAGACCTGGTCTCTTCATCAACACATGCTTTTAGCCCAGTCCTCTGAAAGAGGCTTATATCCTCTTTCTCCTCCTCCTCCCACAAAGGCAAGTGCTGGAATTGTGTACATTCTTCCCTCTTCTGTAAAATAGAGGAGTGGGCATGCAGTACCTATCATGCCCAGGTGGTGCACGCAGCTAAGTGTACAACAACTGATTAAAAGCTTAGAGCTTCCAACCCACCCCGACACATCTCCAGAGAAAGGCCAGGTCATGTGCTCTCAGGCCATAGCCTTCCACGTCTGTCTCTGGGATCGTGCCACCCTCCAATTGTGCTTCCTTCCCTCCCTTCTGCCCCAGCCTCCCTGGCTGTTCCTCCTCTGCTTCCTTCACCACATCTTTGCTCACTTCCTTCTGGCCTCTTCCCTCTTTACCCACAGACTTCCCTTGCTGACAATGGTGCAGCCCAGCCCTTCTAACTTGTCCCAGTGATATCTCATCAATGGCTCCAGCCCAGACATTCTCCGAGGGTCAGTCTAGAGACTAAGTCTAGAGATGAATTGCATTGGGAAAATCTGTTGTCATGAACCTCTCCAGAGTGCTGACAAGCAACAATGTCAGTCTAGAGACTAAGATGCACGTAATCCAGGCCATGGTCTTCTCAATTTCTTGTTATGCTTCACAGAGCTGGACAATGACTAAGGATGACAGAAGAAGAATCGATGTCTTTGAGTTGTGGTGCTGGAGAAGAGTCTTGAACACCCCGTGGACTGCCAAAAGAACAAATAGATCAGCCTTGCAGAGGGTGAAACCAAGGTTCTCTTTGGAAGATAAGATGTTGAAGCTTCATCTCACATACTTTGGGCACATGGCCAGGAGGGACCAGTCCTTGGAGAAGGACATCATACTCAGAAAGGTGGAGGGATAGAACAGGAGAGGAAGATCCAGGATGAGATGGATGGATTCAGTAACTAGGGCAGTGGGGGTAGGTATGTCAGTTTGAGTGAGACTGGCTCAAGATAGGGCAGGTTTCAGAGCTGCTGTACACAGGGTCACTATGAGTCACAGGTGACTCAATGACATGTAACAACAGCAATATTCACAGAACCAACACTGGACCAGATTCCAGCAGGATTTCCGACTGGCAGCTCATGACCTTCACTCAATCTGAAATCAGAACTGTTCTCCTTGCCCCCTGCTTGGCCATATTCCTAGACTGCTAAGCCCCTCATATGGGCCTTTTGCGAGGTAGGCCTCTCTCTTCCTACAGCTCCTAACACTCCTCTCTCCTCAATGTCTCTTCTTTGTCACTACTGTTGTATCTTCAGATCGTAGATGTTTCCCCATTGGACTGTACCTGTCCACCCCTCTCGTCCATGCACTATACTGCCTTCAGTCTGAGCTTTCTCAAAGATCAGTTCATCACTGCCTCTCCTTTGCCTGTTGGATGCCTATTGGACGTGGAATCCAAGGCCTTCTAGTCTTCCCCTTGTGGTTGTTGTTAGGTGTCATCAAATCGGAGACCACTCCCAGCAACCCTATGGACAGCAGACCTGAATCCTGTCTTATCCTGTACCATCTTCGCCATCGCTGCCACACTCAAGCCCATTGCTGAAGTCACTGTGCCCTTCCACCTCCTTAATGACCCTACACTTCTTCAAGAATGATGTTCTTTTCCAAGCAACAATCTGTCCTAGGACCATGTCCAAAGTATGGGAGATGAACCTTCACCATGCTTGCCTCCAAGGAACATTCTGGTTGTAATTTTCCAAGACAAATCTGTTCTTTTGGCAGTTCGTGGAGTGTCGGAACTCTTCTTTAACACCACAGTTCAAAGACTATCAATTCTTCTGTCAGCCTTCTTCCTTGTCCGGCTGTCAGAAGAATAGCAAGGAATTTAAAAGACCATAGCCTGAATAAGGTGTGCCTTAATCTTCATGCTGACATTAGAGTCCGCTTGTTGTTGTTGTGAAGTGCCGTCGAGTCATAGGTGACTCATAGCGACACTATGAACGAAAGTCCTCACCACTTGTGTGACTTCCATCCTTTCTCCAGGTTCATAGTGTTTTCAGAGGCAAGCTATTTATGGAAGTGGATGCCACTCCTGCTTCCAAGCTTGTTTTAATCAGGGAGCGCCACCAAACACTGTCTACCATGGGTAACCATTATCGTGTTTGACACATCAGTGTCACAGTGTTTAGCATCACAGCGACCACAAGTTACCTCTGTATGGCAAGTGAGCATACCAGGGCTATACGACCTAGAGGAATGTTTGACCAAAAACAATGAAAAACAAGCCTTGAAGGCTACGGATTAGAGTCACCCACCTTTGGCTTGGTAGCATCACTTGCGGTCCACTAGGCCAAATGGTCTCTCTCTGTATTGTTAAGTGCCGTCAAGTCATAGGTGACTTATAGTGACCCTATGAATGAAAGTCCTCGACACTTGCATGCGTGATTTTTATCCTTTCTCCAGGTTCATAGAGTCCACTACCTGCCCGAAATTCCAGGCTTATCTCAGTCAGATCCCTTCTCCCACTCTCTCACCCTCCCCTGCTGTTCCTCCTCTCCCCTCTGAACCCCACTTCTCATTCCCCAACCTGGCTGTGTCAGCTTCCCTGAGTGTGCTCACAGTGTTCCCTCTTCCTGCCCCTGCCCCTAGACTCATTCGTCTGACAAATGCCACTCGTGCCCCCAGGCTTGGCTCACCATTACCCTCATTGGCTTCCTCCTGCCCTTGCCAAGCTCAGGCTCACCACCCCTCCTGAGGGATGCACACCCGTGGCCTCGTTCACCAGCACAGTGACGGATGCAGGCGTGTGACCGTGTGGGCTTCCCTCAGCTAGGTTATAACTCCCCGAAGGCAGAGCCATGGCTAATTTACTCCATTGGCCACTGCCATTTACTGAGTTCATGCACCTTGGACAAAGTCCAAGCATTAATTCATGTCATTACCCAGGGCCCTTTGAGAAAGATCCTATAATTATGCTGATGTGTAGATAACGGTCTGAAATGTACAAGAGTTGGGAGAATGCCCAACATCACACAGTATGTAAGCAGCAGAGCTGAACCCAAACCTGTCCGCTAACAACGGGACTCAACATTTAACTCTTACAGTCTTTGATTCCTTTGCAAGTGCTGGAATAGAGAAGGCGCACAGGAATGTTAATTGGTTAAGTGAGTAAATATAAAATCCTCCCAGGGAACCAAATGACAACAGCATAAAACTCAGACCCTGAAATGGGTCCTAAGCGCCTGCTTCACTCTGTCCATACCTCTCAACTCCTATACACCACACCCGAGACACTGAGCTCGTCAAACCACTGTTCTAGTATCTCACCCCAGTCCTTTCCCTACCTGGACATTTCCTTCAGGACAGTCCACATCTTCTTTGAAGCTTTACATGTACCCTTCAAGGGAGCCATGCAGGGGAGCTCTGGTGGCCTATTGGCAAGAAGCTGTACTGCAAGCCCAGAGGTAATGGTGGTGGTGGTGGTGGTGGTGGTGGTTATGTGTCATCGAGTCACCTGCTACTCATAGGGACCCTATGCACAAAAGCCCTAAACACCATTCTATCCTGTGCCAACCTCGCCATCTCAGACACATTCATTCCCACCACTCCATTCACAGAATCGCTCCATCTCATCAAAGGTCTTCCTCGCCTGCGCCGTCCCTCCACTCTCCCAAACATGATGTCCCTCTCCAATGACCAGTCCCTCCTTGCAACATGTCCAAAGCATGTCAGACAAAGCTTCAGAATCCTTGACTCCAAGGAGCATTCCAGCTTCACCTTCTCTAGGACAAACCTGTTTGTTCTCCTAGAAGTCCATGGTATACTCAACACTCTTCTCCAGCACCACAGTTCAAAGGCATCAATTCTCTTTCTATCATCCCTAGTCACTGTCCAACTCTCCA